GCTTCCAGCTTTTGCCCGTTCACTATGATGTTGGCTGTGGGTTTGTCATAGATGGCTCTTACCATGGTGAGGCATGTTCCAATGGGAACTTTCTAATGTTTTTTAATATCCAAAAGAGCAAACACCTCTTCCATACTTTTTCAAAATGTATTATTTTACCCAGATAAAATTTGCAGTTAAAAGATTTCCTCCATCTTTCCCTCCTGAAAAAACTCAGTGGCATTTTTGTCAATTTGCTTTAAAATAAAAAATTAATCTAGAAATACTGACTATTTTATAATATTAAGTATTTTATAAATATTTATAAAATATTCAGTATTTCTAGATTCAGTATAATATTTATTCTGTATAATAATATTCAGCATAATATTTATTCAGAAATAAGTATTCAGTATTTCCTTATCAAAGGAGATAACATTTGGTGTGAAGTATTTTATTGTAACTGAGTTGTGATTTGTGTTCCTCTTCAAATCAATTATTCCTGTTGCTTATGGCTGTTTAGTGTTTTGTATCCAGCATGAGTTGGATAGCCTTGTAATTCTGTTTGCTAATTTACTGCATCTGCTATGTTTTTAAGATTCCTGCAAACATACATTTCTATTTCAGTATTGTAGTTTCATTCTTAGGGATTTTAAATGACATTGAAAATAATGATTATTGTGTCTGCCCTCTTCCAAGAGTCTCGCCTCATTTTAATTTGCCATCTTGTTGCCTAGGCCAGACCTTTCAGAACCATGTTCAGCTGTGCTTAGGGAAGGCAGGTGTTTGGGTCCTGATTTGATTTCTGGAGAAGACCTCCAAAGTGTCACCCTGAGGAATGCCGTTCACTTTTGGTTTCATATAGAAATTCTCATAATCAAGAATGCAACCTACTATTCTAAAAGGTTCTGAAAAAGATCAAAATTGGTGTTTAATTTTACCAAATGTCTCTCCAGCGTCCATGGAGACTGCTGTCTTATTTAATTACACTATGAATATGGTACAGTATTAATGATCAAAGGTCATTTACAGTCTTGGAATAAATCATTTTGTTAGGTTTTCCTGGGTGCTCTCATATATACTCTTCTGCCGAGACTTCTGCTGGTGAGAATTGTGTAAGGAAGTGATCATTTCCTGTGAGGGTGGGTGGGAGTTGATTAGATGGGGCAGAAGGGGACTTTCTGGGGTGGTGGCAGTGTTCTATGTCTTGATCAGGGGATAATTACCCAGGCATATACAGTAGTCAAAGTTGGGCAGAACACTTACAAAGTGAGCATTTACTGCATGCCACTTATGTCTCAATGAGTCACCAGCACACAGAGCCCAAGAGCTATGCAGGACCAGAGGTTTGTCTCCATCTCCATGGAGACCCGAGATGGGAAGCGCTGCAGATCTCTTGCTGGCTGGTGGTCAGGGTCAGTACTGGACTGCAGGACTCCTGACTCTGACCAGAGCATTCCCCACTGTGTGTTACAGGAACAGGCAGTAGCTGAACGGCAGGTGTCAGAGGAGGACGCTGCTGGTTCCAGTGAATGACGCTGAGCCCACTAAGAGTAAGTGTTTTGTGCCTTGAGACGCAGCAGGAGGACAGGGAATAGGGACAGTGTCCTACCTGCTGTCCCTATAGCGAGAGGGCTCTTCTGGAGCATTCACTGCTGGAAGCAGGGGGTCCCATGTCAATCCTGTGCTGATTGTCCTTGGAGCATCGAGACCCTAAATCTCTTCTCTCTTCTCAGTCAACACCTTGCTGGATGCCTCGGCAACACTGGAGGAAGGACATGCAAAGGAAACAATTCAGGACCACATGGTGGACTCCGAGAAGCTCTTTTATGAAGAAGATGACGTAGGCTTTGCTACGTCGTCCCTGTGAAAGAATGTCTTCAGGAAACCAGAGCTTTTCTCGTTTACCTTTTCTTCTAGAAGGGGAGGCAGCCTGGAAGAGACAGTCCAGTACTTGACCCATGCCTCAACTAACTCTGCTATCCAATATGGTGCAGCTTACCAAAGGTCCTAGAACTTTGTCAACACACTTGAAGTAATTTTTATGAAATACTGCGTGTGATAACGAAACTGGGGAAATTTGTGTAAGACTCTTGGCGGCATAGAGTTATACGATTGTGTATTAAGGGTCCTTTTCGTCCAAGTGCTCATGCCTGTAATCCCACCACTTTGGGAGGCTGAGGCTGGTGGATCACTTGAGTTTAGGAGTTTGAGACCAGCCTGGTCAACACAGTGAAACTCCGTCTCAATTTAAAAAGAAAAAAAGTAGTTTTAGGATGTCATTCTTTCCAGTTCTTCATCATGCGACAAGTCCTTTTTTTAATTTCTTATATTGCAAGCTCCATCTCTACTGCTATGTGCATTTAATGACATCTAACTATAGATGCCGCACAGCCACAGTGGTTTATCTTACAGTTTTTTCACTTTAGAATGGGATTATCTATCTAGTTATTAGCTGTATTTTCAGTTTAGGATATTTTTGAGTTAATGATGAGATTATCAAGACATAGCCCTATGCTAAGTCATGAGCGTATGGACTTATGAGGGTTCGACTTAGAGTTTTGAGCGTTAAGATGGGATTATTGGGGCTTACCCCCACCTTAATTAGAGAAACATTTGTATTGCTTATTACTGTATGATGTACATCTTTCTATTTTCCGATTTTTGTGTAATGATGTAAGCATGGATGAACTTTAGAAAATGCACTTTTTAGGTTATTTACATAGGTTGCCTGGATACAAATCAGCAGTGAAAAATCACTGGAAATATAACTAGTGACGGAGGGAGAAATCCTCCCCCCGTGGGAGGCACTTACTGTGTTCCAGTTCTCCCTCCTACGCCCTGAGACTGGACGAGGGTTTGATGACTGGCAACTTCTCAGGGGGCCAGCCTGTCTTACTTGATTTTAGAGGTATATAGCCGTATTTATTTATAAATAAATATTTATTTATATTTATTTATAAATCGATGTTTACATGTGCCCAGGATTTTGAAGAGCATGGTATCTTTGGGAAGCCATGTGTCTGGTTTGTCCTGCTGGGACCGTCAAGGAACTGCATCTTCCTACGTGTCCACCGCAGATGAGGACAGTGAGAATTAAGTTAGATCTGAGACTGTGAAGAGCTTCTCTTTCAAGCACCATTACCGTTGAACATTAGTGAATCTTGGGCCTCGTTTGGACTCAGGGCAGAGCAGGTGTTTATCTGCCCCGGGATCTGCCATGGCATCAGGAGGGAGGAGTGGATGGTGCTTGGGAATGGTGTGAAATGTTTGCTGACTCAGGAGTGGATGGGCCCCTCTCCCTGGTGGTCTGTGACCCTGAGTCCCTGGGCTGCATTTCAGGGTACAGATTCCCTATTTGAGTAGCTTGGCTTCTCTGTAAGCATCTGACTCATCTCAGAAATATCAATCCTTAAACACTACGACAACGAAACCTAAAATGGGTGACACATTTGTCCTTGTGTCACGTTCCATTATTTTATTTAAGAACCTCAGTAATCATTGTAGCCTCTTTCCAGCAAACCCTTCTCCACAGCAGTCCAGTCGTGGTAGGATAAATTACAGATGTAGTCATTCTAGCAGTTTCAGTCTTTTCCATCTCAGGGCATTGTGTGTTTTGTTCCGGGACTGGTTTGGTGGGGACAAAGTTAGAATTGCCTGAAGATCGCACATTCAGAGTGTTGTGTCCGTGGAGTTTTAGGAGGGGGTGGCCTTTCTGGTCTATGCACTTCCATCCTCTCCCACTTCCATCTGGCGTCCCACACGTTGTCCCCTGCACTTCTGGAAGGCACAGGGTGCTGCTGCCTCCTGGTCTTTGCCTTTGCTGGGCCTTCGGTGCAGGACACTCGGCCTCAAAGCTCAGAGGGAGCCAGTCCGGACCCAGCTCCCTTGTCCCTTCCTCAGAGGCCTTCCTTGAAGATGCATCTGGCCTATCAGCCTTATCAGTGTTTAAGCTTATTCCTTTAAAGTAAGCTTCCTGAGAACATGAAATTGTTGGGGTTTTTTGGTGTTGGTTGGTTTGTTTAGGTTTTGCTTTATACCCAGGCCAAATAACATATAACACCTGGTTATGTATGAAATGCTTATATGTTTATGATCAAAATAAATGTGAAACCTCATAGAAAAAGAGGTGTGGTGTTCATTTATTTCCATCCTCCCCTCCTCCTGTGACAGCTCTGAGTGACAGGAGGCCAGGGCTTCCTTCCTGCTGGGACTCCTTACTTGTCCCCTCTCTGCCTTTGGTGTGTCGGGGGAGGTTCCTGCCTATGACTCCCTGGATTTTAAAGGGCCAGGCTCTTGGGCACTGGAATTCACATGCACCTCCTCCCTGTTTCTCTCCTGTCTGCTCCTCCCCCTGGGGAGAGGGACACCAGCCCTTACCTGTATCCCCATCAGTGGACCCAGGTTGCTCAGCCCTGCAGGCACCTGGGAGACCCATTTCCCACTCCCCTTGCCCTGGAGGACTCTCTCTCTCTCTCTCTCTCTCTCTCTCTCTCTCTCGCTGTCTCTCTCTCTCTCTGTCTCTCTCTCGCCCACAGCTCCCAGGAGGCCCAGGTGTGCCCCTATGCTGTCTTCCTTCCCCTGAGGATAAGTGGGACTCCTCCAGGCTACCCCCTGCTTCCCTCCTGCACTGCCCAGGCCCTCTCAGCTAGAACATCTTTCTCAGGCGAGGTGACGCCTGAGCTCTGAGCCCACAGCTCCACTGCCTCCTGGCTCTGCCCTTCCTCCATGGGACTGCATCTTTTACATCTAAAAAGGATGTGGGTGGTGAAATTTCGGTCAGGTTAGAAAACAGAAAGGGGCAATTGTGGCCCAGCTTTTGCCCCTTGGTGGCTGGGAGCTACCGTTTCCATCCTCCACATTCTTCCAGCCCCGTCCTCCTCCTCTCTGGACCAACCCTGCTTTTCCTCCTCCTCCATTCTCTCTCTTCTTCCCTTTATCCCACCCAGCAGTAAATAAATGTCACAGGGGAGAGACCAGTATCTGGCCCAGTGGTGCAGAGGTAAAGATTTTACCAAGACAGTTGTAGGTAAAGAAAAGCAGATTTATGACCAAGCACAGTGGCTCACACCTGCAATCCAAGCACTTTGGGAGGGCAAGTTGGGTGGATTACCCAAGGTCAGGAGTTGAGGACCAGCCTGGCCAACATGGTGAAACCCTGGCAAAAGACATAAAAATTAGCCAGGAGTGGTGGCGCATGCCTGTAATCCCAGCTACTTGGGAGGCTGAGACAGGAGAATTGCTTGAACCCGGAAGGGGAGGTTGCAGTGATCTGAGATCACACCATTGCAGTCCAGCCTGGGTGACGCGAGCAAAACTCCATTAAAAAAAAAAAAAAGTTAAAAAAAAAAGCAGATTTATTAGAGAAAGTAGGAAAATGTGCAGCAAGGAGGCAATGGGTAAGCCAGCAGAAGAGGAGCTGACTGCAAAGTGACAAAGGCTTGCTGGAGATTTTATAGGCTAGTGTTTATGATGACTGTTGAAGAGGGCTTTGTGCAGTACTGATCAGCCACGGTTGCAGTGAGCCAACTTGCAGGTGTCTGATGATAGCTGAGTGTGGAAAGATTTTGAGTTATTTGCACAGGAGGGCTTTGTGTCCTGGACCACAAAGAAAGGCAGACTTACACAAACCGTGAAAATCTGAGACAGATTTCAGTTAATTTAGAAAGTTTATTTTGTCAAGGTTGAGGATGCATGCCCTTGACATAGCCCCAGGAGGTTTTGATGACATGTGCCCCAGGTGGTCAGAGCACAGTTTGGTGTTTTGTTTTTGTTTGTTTTGTTTTGTTTTGTTTTTTGAGACAGAGTCTTGCTCTGTCACCAGGCTGGAGTGCAGTTGCGTGATCTCAACTTACTGCAACCTCCACCTCCTGCGTTCAAGCTTCTGCCTCAGCCTCCTGAGTAGCTGGGATTATAGGCGCCAGCCACTATGCCTGGCTAATTTTTGTACTTTTAGTAGAGATGTGGTTTTGCCACATTGGACAGGCTGGTCTCAAACTCCTGACCTCGGGTGATTCGCCCACCTTGGCCTCCCACAGTGCTGGGATTGCAGGCGTGAGCTATCACACCCAGCTGGTTTTATACGTTTTAGGGAGACATGAGACATCAATCAACATATGTAAGATGAGCATTGGTTCAGTCCAGAATAGGTGGGTTAACTGGAAACAAAGGCAGGACAACTCCAAGCGAGGAGGGGACTTCTAGGTCATAGGTAGATAAGAGACAAATGGTTACATTCTTCTGAGTTTCTGATTAGCCTCCTCAAAGGAGGCAATCAGATGTGCATTTATCTCGGTGAGCAGAGGGTGACTTTGAATAGAAGGAAAGGCAGGTTTGCCCTAAGAAGTTTTCAGTTTGACTTTTCCCTTTAGCTAAGAGATTTGGGGGCCACAAGATTTCTTTTCGTTTCATACTTACCTGCTTTCTCTTTTTGCTTTCCCCTGCTCCCACCAGCCTGGCTCCCTTTCCCTAATTAGGACTCCACAAGAAGGCTCTGTGTCCTCTGGCCTTTCATTACAAGAGAATCCTGTTCTCTAGGCCAGTGCCCCTTTCCCTGACCTTTGACTCCAATCTGGTCCACTCCCAATACACACCAGGAGCACCCATGGAATGCCCCTCTGAAGGTGAGGATAGGAGTCTACGGTCTCAAGATGGACGTACAGCCAAAAGTTTGTGTTTGAAAATAAATCTTGGACAACTTTTCTGACCAAGTTCATAAGGTAGCTTCCTGAAAGAAACAGAATTACTGTGTTAAGAGGCATTTTTTCCTGCACACACACACACCCATGTGCACACCACATACACATGCACGGTTTTGGTTCCAACAGCACTTCATTAGTCTTGAGCTGATGTGCTTGTTCTTTCGTTTTTGCTTTCTCAAACTAAGAAGAAAATTAATTAACTTAAATATGCATTTATTTATTTTTGGACTTAGTTTTCACATGTTTATTAGCTGTTTGATTTTCTTTTCAAACTGATTGTTTACAACTTTTATCCTGCCTATTGAGATACACGTCCCTGCCCATGCACCTTCTCAAGTGCAGTTAATAGGTTTCTACTTTCTTGTTTGCCATTTTATTTGGTCAAATATTTTCAGGTGCAGAATTTTTAATGTTAAGAAACTTAAGCTATTGATATATTTATTTTGTCATTCATTATAATCTTAAGAAAGTCCCCTCCTGGACAAAAGGCAATGTAAAATTCTTCAGTAATTTTTTTTTTTTTTTTTTTTTTGAGACAGTTTCACTCTGTCACCCAGGCTGGAGCACAGGGCTCACTGCAGCCTTGACCTCCTGGGCTCAAGCTTCCTGCTTCTGTCAAGGGTTTATCTTTCTATTTTATTCTTTGTAGTCATCATGAATGGGATTGTCTTATAGTTATGCCATTTCTCATCAGACCAACAGAATCCTAAATCTTCTTCTCCCACCCTTTTCTCCTCCCCGTGCTGTATCTGACCTTGTCCCCTAACACCACCTTACACTGATCTGTCTTTCCCTTCCTCTTTCGCCTTCCCTCCTGGCTGTAGTTCAGGGCCTACGTCAGCTAGAGGGCCTCCTGAAGGACTGCGGAGTCCTGCATGACAGGCACTGGCCCAGGGACTCCTGCGCACTCGAGCTGAGGCTAACCTGAATTTGATGAGCAATTTGATCGCCCTATTTCAAAAATTTAGTGTACTAGGCCGGGCACGGTGGCTCACACCTGTAATCCTAGCACTTTGGGAGGCAGAGGTAGGCGGGTCACCTGAGGTCGGGAATTTGAGACCAGCCTGACCAACATGGAGAAACCCCGTCTCTACTAAAAATACAAAATTAGCCGGGCGTGATAGCGCATGCCTGTAATCCCAGCTACTCAGGAGGCTGAGGTAGGAGCATCACTTAAATTCCAGAGGAGGAGATTGCGGTGAGCTGAGAATGCGCCATTGCACTCTAGCCTGGCCAACAAAAGCAACACTCTCAAAAACAAAACAAAAGAATGTAGGCCAGATGCATGGCTCACGCCTGTAATCCCAGCACTTTGGGAGGCCAAGGCAGGTGGATCACAAGGTCGGGAGATCAAGACCATCCTGGCTAACACAGTGAAACCCATCTCTACTAAAAATATGAAAACAAAATTAGCCAGGCGTGGTGGCGGGCGCCTGTAGTCCCAGCTACTAGGGAGGCTGAGGCAGGAGAGTGACGTGAACCCGGAGGCTGGAGTTACCATGCGCCCCCGCGGCCCCCGGACCCCCTGCCTCCGCCCCTCGCACTCCAGCCTGGGCGACAGAGCGAGACCGCGCCCTCGTCCTCAAAAAAAAACCAAAAAATAAAACGAATTTAGTGTGCTAAAGAATGTAAAATGTTCATTAATACTTTATTGTGCTTAATGTACATGTTGATCAATGCAGAAGAATGTGTGCTAGTATTACATTGAAAAAAATGTCATAACATTAATGTTTGTAATTCTTTGCTACTTTTTTTTCATGGGAGATAATTAGAAAATATAAATTTTGGTGGCTTGGTGCAGTAGCTCATGCTGCCAATCCCAGCCGTTGGAAGGCAAAGGCAGGCGGATCACAGGCAAGAGAATCAAGACCCTCCTGGCTAATCATGTGAAAACCCCAATCTCTCTCAAAATACAAAAAATTAGCTTGTGGCATGGCCGCCGC